GTTATACCAACTAATACAAGTTGGCAGAGCATCCAATCGGTGCGTATGTACCTGCTCACCCGTACCGTGCTGATGCCACACAAACACGCCGTGTTGCCACAACCGCCCGGGAGAGGTGATTGTAATCAGTGCTCACGAAAAGGCTATTTATCTATGCTACACCACGCCCAGTGTGAGAAGACACAACGCGCCGTCGATGCCGCGCAACAGACTCGAATCCTATATCGTTGGTGTTATTTTCCGCAAGATATGCGTATCTCATGCGTCAGCTGTTGTTGAACCTGTGGTTTCTGGTGGATTTCGCCTCCAGGACCTTTTTTTTTTCCATGTACCATCTGTTGTAGGTAACGCCCAATTAGAACGTACCTTTAGATTCATGAACCAACCCAAGCGAACAAATGGACCGTGTGGTACTCGGAACAGATGTAGTCCCGACCTGTGCAGACGAGCTGCTTTCATGACGTCCCTCAGTAAGGGTGTAAAAGGTTTCAAATGAGTAGACCCTCTAGTTTTGACCGGAGCTGAGGTTCTTAGATCCCGGGATCTTCCAACAATGACCGTTAGATAGATTTAAGTGTAGGGGCTCTTAATCGATCTCACAAATGGTGCTCGAGTTCAATAAATTGTTTTTTTTTAGGCTCGATTTCTTAATTCCTGGGTTCCTAAGTGCGAGCGCGCTCTGTACAACCAGAAGAACAAACACGAAAAGAGAGAGGGCGAAAACAGCGAAGAGGAAGGAGAGAGAGAGAGAGACGGAAAATGGGGGAGGGGTAGAGCAGAAGCAGTGTAAGACGAGACCCCGCCTTGGTTGCTGCACCACAACCTGCTTTTTCTTGTGCTCGGGCCACATAGCACCTTTTTAGTTTCGTTTGTTGTTCCGACTTTCTGCCTTGTTGCATCAGCCTCTCTGCCTGCATGCAAGAGAAGTTAGAGCCGGAATCAAATGTTGTGTGTGTACTTCACAAAGTCAAGTAATACACTCGAGCATCATGATTAGTTGGGTGTACTCCTTCGGCATGTATTCGACATTGTTTTGCAGAGAGTCGTGAACCGTTGTAATGATCCGCCAGTTCATTCTCCCAGTTCGTTAACCTGCTTGTCCCTGCTCCTCTTTTCCCTCCTCCACTTCCCTTCCGGCTTCACTGTTGGCACCCACTTTCGACCACCCCCACTAATTTACCACAGCGCATTCAACGGCGCCGCCGTCGCCACCCCGGCCAAGTCGTCCTCGGCCATGAAGATGTCGTTCGAGTCGGAGATCGGCGCGCAGCCCCCCCTCGGATTCTGGGACCCCCTCGGCCTCCTCGAGGACGCCGACCAGGAGCGGTTCGAGCGCCTCCGGTACGTGGAGGTGAAGCACGGCCGCATTGCGATGCTCGCCATCGCCGGTCACCTGACCCAGCAGAACACCCGCCTCCCCGGCATGCTCTCGAACTCGGCGAACCTGTCGTTCGCGGACATGCCGAACGGCGTGGCCGCCCTGTCGAAGATCCCCCCGGCGGGCCTCGCCCAGATCTTCGCGTTCATCGGATTCCTTGAGCTGGCTGTGATGAAGAACGTGGAGGGCTCGTTCCCCGGAGACTTCACCCTGGGCGGCAACCCGTTCGGGTCCTCGTGGGACGCGATGTCGGAGGAGACCCAGGCGTCGAAGCGCGCGATCGAGCTGAACAACGGGCGCGCGGCACAGATGGGCATCCTGGCTCTGATGGTGCACGAGGAGCTGAACAACAAGCCGTACGTGATCAACGACCTCCTCGGCGCGGGATACACCTTCAACTAGGCTTCTAGTCCGTGCGTTCTTCAGCCATTTTGCACCGGTTTTGTTGCTGGGGACGCTCTGTGAATAGCGGTGTCGTGTTGTGATTTACGTTTTAATCGTGAGCTGGGATGGGAGGAGGGGACCGCCTCTTCCTCCTTAGCTGGTAGCCGAATGATGCTATGATGCCGGCCGCGCTCTGTTTTCTTTGGGCTCAATAGAAACAGTGTGTCGGAAGGTGGTTCTTGTCACACACCCTCGTGAGGCATGCGGTTACTGTTCTCAGGGGAGGGGTTTTGAGGAAGGGGATTCCTTTGTTGGCGTTCCGTGTCGGCTGCACCTGGTCTTGGCCGGTTGTTGCTGTTGCCCGTCTTGCCCTCCTGTTGTTTTTGTCGAGTCGTATGATCAGGTTTTCCCATGATGCGTACACTCGAGAGGCGTGCTGCGTCGATCGCTTCCCGCCTCTTTGAACTGAATGGGGTCTGTGAATGAAAAACAAGGCTTTGAACCCAACGCCCGAACAAACTTGCACTGCTGTGGTTGCGAAGACTGTCCTCCTTGTGAGTTTGGTGTATCCTGGCGTGACGGTGCTTTCGTTTCGACACACACCTGCTGCAGGTGCGCCACCACATTTATTTGGAGGATTTGACTGCAATCTATATTAGACATTGTGGTCCATTGGCTGTGCCCTGCCGTTCATGAAATGATGAACGCGTAGGCCTGCACCACCAAACGCGTCACGAATGATGCTTTCGGCTCATCGCGAATAGTTTGCCGCCTCATCCCTCCTTGAACTTACGGAGATAACGCAAAGATGGCATATTCCGCTCGTGGTGTTGCACCCCGACTACTTGCAGAAGCGTCGTGTGGGCGACCTTGGTCCGAAGCGTAAGACGACAGCACGTGCAGTTGGCGATGTAGACATGAATGCACCGGGTACGTTACATGTCGAGGCGCGTCGCACACCGTCAGAGTCGCACAGGACCTACTTGCCATCGCTGATATGTTTGTCTTCTTGAACAAGTCTGAAGCCTTAGCTTCAGTCTCATCGTTCGATATCCGTGGGTGGAACTTTCAATCGCATCCCCCACCCCTGGCCCCACCCGGTCTCAAATGCTGTCCTCGGGCTACAGTGCAAATCTCGTGGCGCTTCAAGTATGGTTCGGTAGGGAATCACAAACCATGATTCCTCCCCGAGTTTGAGCAGCTTTTATCTCCTGTGGCCGACACGACTGGGCCTTGACTATTCCAGCCGGTCGCCCCGGTGGTCTAGTTGGTAGCCTCGAAACGTTCTAGAGGTCAGGTCAGGGGTTCGAATCCCGGCGTAAGCGAGCTTTTCTTGCAAAGTGAGTTTTTCTCTCGCTTCCGCTCCTGGCCTAGTGGATAGCGTGTACACAGAGGGAAGAGAGTGCTGAACTCTTCTCGCATTAAAAATCGAAGACAAAGTACCGCATGAGGGGAGATAGAGAGGGGCTCTTCTGTGTGACCACGGGTTGGAGTAAACGGCACTAGTGCTGATTTGAAGTGAAGACAAAAAAAAAAAAAACTTGTCTGTTTCGCCATTCATTGGAACGGCCGATTGAACAGCAAAAGAGGGTCCTGCATGCTGTGCGCCACAACCCCTTTTTTTTCGTTTGTTCGTGATTTACTTCCTGAGCGATCGTTCGTTGTACGCATGCGGTTGCTGCTGTTATGCTCGGAATATGCTGCAAAGGTCGTATGGTTGTCGTCTCTGTCGCTTGGTCTGCACAATGTGCTCGCGTAGGAGATGCGCATCCCTTTATTTTTTTCTCTGTGTCGATATCCACGAAGAAAAGCAACGGCAGCACGGTTGAAGATACGGACAACAGACGGTCCGCCTTTGTTTTTGTATTTTTGTTTCTGCTGCATATGCATGCATGGGTGGTAAAGCATCGCAAGCGTGTTGCTGCCTTACCTTGAGCGATGAAAAGGTATCATAGATGGCAGCACAATCTTATTTGCGTAGTGAGGGTTGACAAACAACTACAGTAGTAGTCGTTCGTGTAGCGGTGCGCATCAATCGCGATGGCAAACGTATTGAGATAATAGTTCGTCCGTGGTGCTTCTAGTTATCATCATGTTCTTCATATGCATAATACCAAAAAATGAAAGAAAGTCTCAAGTCTCCACAGTTCGGAAACGGCGACTAGACTATATTATTTTGTTTGTTGTGTTTGTTGTTGCTGAGCGCACATCGGATGTCGCCGTTCGTTACAACATATGTTTGACAGCCTGCGGTGGGCCACAGGGACGAGGGTTAATCTCGAGAGTTAGTGCCTTCTCGACGCTCTCTTCTTTTGGTCTACAGTATGTACCTGTCTCTCTCTCGCCTTTCACCGTTGGGGTCCCAACAACATCGAACGTCAATCGCAATCGTTTCGCTTCTTGCTGAGTAAGAGGCTACCCGTGTACGTACCCGGCTGCTGCTGCATGTGAGGCGATGGGCGCTGCCTCTTTACGTGAAGCAATGGGCATGGCCCCTACACCCGTGGCCATTGTGCCCTTGCACAGGGTCCCGTCCCAGAACACCCTGTGGCCCGTAAGCATGTGGCCAGTTTAATAAGGTCCATGCACTGGTACCCTGTACATGATTCATAGGTCCCTACCCTGTACATGATTAAGGGTAGAAACCTGGCCAAGGTTCCTACCCTCGACCTTGCACATGTTTGTCATCACTCGACCCTGTGGGGCCGTAACAATGTGGCCACCTTAATAAGGTCGATGCAGTCGAACCCTGTACATTGGTCATGAATAAAACCCTGGACAGCGTCACGCTGAAGAAGACTTTGGTCGACCCTGAATCATCACAGTCCACCCGTCGCATACATCCCCCACGGTACGAAACATACATTTTATGCAGAGCTATACGTTGCAGTATGCGAATCAACCCAGCCATTCCTATGTACGACTACGTACGAACTTAGCACACGCCATTGGGGCCAGTGGCTGACAATACAAATGCGTGTAGAAAGGTTCAACGGCACAGAAAATAAATTCTCCGCCCTTTTGTCGGGTGCACCCCCGCGGCTAATACCACGGAAAAAACACATGGACCTTGCGCGTTAGCCTCGCCACATACCTTGAACCTTCACTATGTAAGGGTGATACACCAAGGCAGAGAGCGTTACCCAAAGCCCATCTCACAGGCAAATGTGACAAGGTCCGCTCCCCCTCTTCGCCCCAAAAGGACGTCACACAACCATCTCGTATTGTATCAGCTGTGAGAGTCCCCCGACCTTTCCTCACGTATATCATTATTTGCAGCCCTGAAACTGCATGACCAACTACCAACGCCGAAAGCGCCCGCGTACCACACCCATCAAGCATGCAACTAGCCGGCAACCCCTTCCCAACAAATTCAACCGTACGTACACAGGTGGCCCAGGTGCACTACGGTATGCACCATTGTACAATGCCGAAAAAAAAGCACTCTATTTTCAGTTAATACAACGTCTCAGGTTGCTGACCCCCGGTGGCATAACCTGGCCGGGTCAGGTAAGCACACACAGCATAACCTCGTGGGTTAGAGAAAGCCTTGGCTCACAACGTCGCCACATTGTGCCCTCTCATCATGCAACGTTGTTCTGCCCCTCGGGACAAACGTTCGCAGCCGAATAACAAGTACCAGGTTTGCGTTCTTTCGTATTAATTCGTCGGTCGTTAACCCGTTAGCGCGTAGTTGCACATATGCAGGTTCCCGTGCGTCAACACCGTGGTGAGCGCGTGACACCCCGGCAAAAAACAAACTATACAATAGTAGCCTATTCTGCAGACACAAATAAACGACGCCTCAAACCAAGGTCCCAGCAACCACAATCGTGGCCCGTGCTTCGTTTAGGGCACGCACGACGCAAAAAAGATTGTACGTGTACCGCGAGATAATTACGGCGGAACGAGGGCGGACAAGATGGCCGCGGCTTCCCGAACAAAGAACCGTGATGACGTACAAAAAAAATAATATGCATACCTAGCCCCACACAGCCATGAGCGGCTCCACACAAGTTTTTCGACCGGCTCACCACTTCTCGACCTCCCGCACACACAAGCAATTGCACCAAGGAAGCCAAGAGAAGAACAAAAGTTAATTTTACCAAAGTCGGTACGAGTGAGGAAACAAAAACCCGTAGAAACTTCTCCGC